ATGTTTAGAAATAAATATTTGTCGCAATTCAAGAGTATGAAAAAAGATATTAATTTTTTTAAATTTTGAAAAAGAAAATTTTAAATAATGAAAAAATTATTTGTAAAAAATCTTTTTTTTCACATTCTCGAATTTCGGTAAATATTTGTTTTTGAAAATTTAACGAAATTAAATCTTTTTTTACATTTAAAGAATGTTTTTTATACGGAATTTTGGAATTAAAAAAATTTTATATTTTAAAGGAATATATTTTTCAAATTCTCGAATTTCCGTAAATATTTGTTTTTTAAAATTTAAAGGAATTACAAAAATTAAAAATTTTTTTTTCGCATTCTTAAATTTCGGTTAATTTTTTTTTCAAAATTTAAAAAAATTTTTTAATTATTTTTTCACATTCTCAAATTTCGGTAAATATTTGCTTTTGAAAATTAAAAGTACTTAAAAAAATTTATAAAATTTAAAAAATATTTTTACGCGTTTTTGAATTTTGGTAATTAAAGAAATTTGAAACAATGTTTAAAAACATTTTTTCAGCTTTTCACTAAAGCTTTCGCGCAACATAACTTGGTTTTGCCAGCAAAACAAACAAGCGCTTAGCACACTTGTTGACGCATGCGCTGGCGTTTCCATACCCCCAAACACACACTTTAATACACATAGTTTTTGGTGTGCGTGCGTGTGCAGGATTTTCCTAGTTTATTGGTTTTTTTCTTCACTAAAAATGTATTTTTTTGTTTTTACAAAACATTCTAATTTAATTTAGCAATGATTTAAGGTTTAGGTTGTATTAATTATAATTATTACGTTTATCTTCTTCTTAATTTAAGCCAAGTTTTATAACTTCCTTTGTAAATAATTGTGCATGCAATTTTCCAAAATGTAAGCCTCTAGGTAAAAAGCAATAAAGGAAAAAAAATGTGAAGAAGGCATTATTGTAATACACTAAAGCGAAAACAATAACAACAATAGAAATAAAAAACAAAAAATCAGAAATAATATAACAACAACAACAACGAATTAGTCGAAATATAGCTTATTTCTCTACTTACTGTTGCACGCACTCTCTTCTAAGCATGCTATCACACGCTCTCTTTTATGCGCGCTATCACGCACTCGCTCTAAATCACTCTTTGACTAACTTTCTCTCACACTCGCTTACTAACTCACTCTCTTCAACACTACCATCGCTAATTATTTGGTCGAATTTCCGTCCACATACTCATATGTAACCTTCGTCGGCACTCGTGCCGTCCGAACGATCCGCTTGCTTAATCTCTTTATGAAACGAACTTCGAAATTAGACTTTTGCACCACTTTCCAATTCTCCATAAATATTTATTTTTATTTTTCCCGAGTCTCTTCGCTATCATTATCTAACACAAAAGGACTGTGATTATATTAATTTCCTTGAATTTTTTTGTAAACAAGAAAAGAAATATGTAATGAAATTATGTAATAAATACTTAATTACTGTTATTGGTTTTTGAATTCTTTGGCGCCTCATATACATACATATGTTTGTATACAAAGAATGTATTCATGTTTGCATAGCATATGATTACATGGCAATACTATACAAATACATTTTTAAATACCTATGTAATTAAATAAAATTTCATATATATAGAAATATATATGTATATGTATGTATAGTTTATCTTGTATGTTTGTATGTGAAAGTCAAATAAAATAATTTAAAATAAAAATTTAATAATTTAAAATGATTAAGAGCATCTCTTTATTTCATTGAGTCCCTTAGATTTCTAAGACGGGTACATAGGAGGCGTTCCAGTGTCTCATTCATGTCCACTTCCCTGCCCTTACTTCCCTTGGGAGTGGTCAGAAACGGTTCTTTTACATATGGCTCAAACAGCTGACGACTTCCGATCTTAACCCAAGTATTCTCTAAGTAATCATCCGTTTGAAGGCGAGCTAAAGTGAGAAGACCAACCATCCCTCCCCAGGGTTGTGTGCTGGGTTTGGGACCCGCCTACTAATGAAAATAAAAAAAAGAAATGCAAATGAACTAAGGATTACGATTTGAAGGCATGCACCTGGAATATCCGGTCCCTTTATTGGGTAGGTGCCTCTACCCAGCAGGTTAATATCCACATTAGAGTAAATGCTCACATCACCGCTGTGCGACTTCTTAAATCTATTGCTGGAGTGAATAACTCGAGCTGCAGAGCTGAATTGTGAAGGCCACCACGTGACTGTTGATAGTCATAACTTCGAAATCGTAGATTTCTGTGGATTCCTTATGATTCGAAACCAAGAGATGTTGAGCGAGAGGAAATTATCTACGACTTCGAAGTTATGACTTTCAACAGTCACATGGAAGCCAGTCTGAAGAAGCAGAACCAACGGCGGATTCCCATGTGGTCGCTTTGAAGTGGTTTATCGTACGATTACCAATGCTAAAACTCTTCTTACGTTTGATACAGATCCTCATCGAGCAAAGCCTCCAATTCACCGGCCTCGAAGATTTTTGGCATTCATTAACGTGGAGGATCGTTAGTATCGACATCGTCGTCTTTGAAGCCACGAAACCAATCTCGGCAGGTTGTTAGAGCAGCATCTCTGTAAACTTTTTGGAGTTCCGGGTGTACTTCATTAGCCGATTTCTTTGACTGAAAGATGAAAATCAACACTTTCCGCAGTAGCCGATTTGGCAAAAAAATGTGATCGAGAGAGGTCTTAGTTATACAGTTCTAGATAGAAGATTTCATTTGCATTCCAATTACTTTTATACTCGGACTGATAACTTAGCTCCAGTCCTTTAATATCGATTTACTTTCTGGACTTGTACTTCGTGGTATAATTTTCGTTACTACGACTATAACATGATTTGTCTTCCGTTTCAGCGATGATTCCAATTATTGGATCCGTTGAAGACCAAAACGCTGTCATAAGTTGATTTTCTTGTTAGCAAGTATGACGTGCTTATTCAGATATGTACATATATTGGATTGTTTAGATCTTAAAATTCTAGCTGAAGTGTTTGACTCATGAGAAACTAGGAGTGTAGGGTAATGGAGTTCAATTACTTGAAGTCTGAGCTACCACGTATCCACTTGACCTACACTCTGAAAGCATGATCTACATGCAAGGTTTGTCTTTCCACTATTGCATAAATCTTGCGAAATCTTCCTGCTTACTGATCAAATTGGTATATGAAAGGTGAAGTCTAAAAATCTCGAGGCTTAGGTTTAACTAACATGGGACATAGTCAATGAAAAATATATTTGAAACATTTGAATGAAACATATTTGAAACATATTTTTCTAGTGCATTCTTTAGAATTATTTGTGAAAAAAATCCTACAAATATTGTTATGATTGCAGGTAACCTTCAATACTTTGAGTAAATTCAACAATATCAATTTTATCATTTCAGAATATAGATTACAATACATACATAAGTATATTACTTACTTATATATGTATGTATATAAGTTTGGATGAAACGTTTATATTTGTCACATACTTAAATCAACAAAATAAAGATTTATATTCCACAAACGTTCATAGAGAGACAAATCGTGAGTAGAATGTGCAATAGCTCTGAGAAAATGATTTTAAATAATGATGGTATCGGAAAATTGTGATTATATTCACACTTTGCTTAACAGTACATAAAGATGCCGTAACAATACTGATTGAATAACGTTATGAATAGCATCTCAAGTGTAGCAACAAGCTCATTCTACCAATATACTTCATGTCTACATATATAATATTATACATATATCATACATACAGTGTCTACCAATAGAGATATCCTGAATTTGACAGCTTGTGGCGGCATTGTTTGTTTAATGACAAAAGAGTAAAATGTTGTCAGTGTGTTCAGTACGATTTACCATTTCATCATGTCCAATGTCACTTTTGTAAAACGCTTGGAAATTGTCCAAAATTATTATCATGTCCTCCGACGGCTGCTGTAAGAGCTTTTTGAGCAAAACATGGTCGTCGAAAATGATTATAATCTCTACGATAGTGCGCCACCTTCTCTTTAAAGAAAAGTGCTGAAAATACGAATCATTCGTTTCTTCTTTGTTCTGCACAGTGTCGTCTCTATCCGACGAGAATTTGGCGAATTTTTTTAGATCTGGCTCTGCATCCGTATAAGATTGTGTTGGCACAAGGACTGAATATGACTTTAAAAGCGGTTACAATCAAAAGCGAGCGCTATAACACGCTGCTGATAGACTCATCTCCCGGATTTTGCCCAGAATAAACCATTAAAGTTAAGCCTCTTTGACGGCTCCAGGCTGCCTAAACTCCAAACAAAAATTTTTATTCTATAAAGTTTTTATTTCAGAAATTGAACCAAAATAATTATAAATAATTATCATAAATAGACATATTTGAAAGTAATTACACCGCTGAATAATAATTGCACTCCCAATAATTGGCGTATGATTACTTCACGAATAGAAACAAGTGATTGATTTTGAATGCTATCTACAAACGTATGGATGTACTACGTATTATAAACACTTTTGTATAATATTTCTGAATATAGTACTTCAACAGATCATTGTTTGCTAAATAAGGTTGATTATGCAACTATCGCCTACTTACAATGATATTATTGTAATAAGAAAACATAAAAAATAAACTGCAATACCAACATACCAACATTTATTAGTTATAAAAAGATATAGTTTTAAGAACAAACAAGTTATATGTGTTAAGAAGCATTAATTGAATATTTAATTTCGAGACCAACACATTTTTTATATGCCTATTTACTGGGCAGTATTCTACATAGGTTAAGTTAAGTTAATCTGTTAGTCTAATAACACATTTATAGACCTTTGGGATACCAGATGATACGGGCACCTAATCCCCTTAGGATAGGTCCATGAGGAGGTTTTTTGGTATGCCTGCGCTCGACGATAATTTCAACAGACTCTGTGGTCTCACTAACGATGCCTCCTTCGATGTTTCATACTGGATGGTATGAAGTATAGATTTTTAACAGGTTAAATTGTATTAAATTGAAGATGCACTGCTTTGACATGAAATAATATTAGTTTAAAATAAATATTGATAATATAACCACAATTATATAATTTATTCTGTACTACATAGCTTTTAATTGTAGATCTCACTGATTATCTTTTATTCTGTAAAACATCTTTCAACGTTCTAAGAACCTCTGAAATGGATTATAAATTTACTAAGTGCCTGTAAATAAAATTTTTATATTTATCAAGTATTACTCACATTAATCTTGGGTGGTAACACTTTCTGTTGCTGTGGTTGGAGTGGTTATCTAGTCCCTGCTTGGGTTATAATCTTCAAAATAGTTATCATTGAAATCTTCTACTGGGAGACCCAGCAAACAAGCTGCTTCAACGGTGCCGGATTGTAATTCGTTTGGCATGCAAGAAGCCTTTTACAGTAATTCCACGCTGGAGCTTTTCATACTTCTACGATGCGGCTTAGTTTCAAGCAGACCACTACAGTGTTAATTTTAACGTAAACATCTAAGCAGAAACTCCTCGGAAGGGAGTTCATTGTGTTCCTTAAGCGGTAGCATGTAGGCCTCAGTATGTACAAAAATGTTTGACGGTCCCATAAGAAGGCATGCAGTTATTGAATGAAAAGCACTGTTTTGACACTTCAGAAACTTCTTCGTCTGTGTCCAGGTGAGCATATCGGTAGTTGATCATCTGCATTTTGCGAACTACGCTACTTTTTCCCTTGTCCAGGTGCAGCCGGCTACCGGCTTGAGTGTTTTGTTTCGGTTCTGTACTTGGCAATTGTTCCAGTCATATGCGGAGTGAAACAACACAGACTATCAAGTTTTCACTTTCTCTTTGGAGACGACGTAAGTATACCGCGGAATGCAAACAATATTGTATTTATTTTACAATGAATCAGACATATCCTATTTGTGTTGTTTTCTTTTTTCAATCAGCTGTTGTTTTTTATGCATTTCATTACTCTTTCTTTCCAATCAGCTGTTGTGAAAATCCTGCAACTCCAAAATTCCTCAAAATATTCCCAAAGTTGGTTTAATAAAGCGCCAAATATATTATGTCTGCGAAACCATAATAATATCAAGCAATTTTATTGCTAATTATACCACAATATATTAAATAAAGTGAATTTTTGCTTGATATATACGCAGAATAAAAATTATTACCACGTTTTCGCACATTTTTTTATAGCTTGTTATATTTAGCAGCAAATTAACTTAACTCGGCATCACTACGAACCACCGGATCAAAGCGAAAGTTGTTTAAAAATACGAAAAGGTGTGCAACAATTATCAGATTACTCACTAAATATTTCTGTGTAATTTTGTGTAAATTTGCAAAATAATTTATGTACAGCGTGGAGAAATGCTTAAATAGTTACTAAACACTTAAATTTGCAGCTATTGTTCGTATTAATAGCAAAATATTAATATGGACAAATCTATTTTGAATCAGTTCACTTCCTATGTTGAGCAGCTACGCAATACGGAATGCAGGTGAGTTTCATGCAATAAAATGTACTTGTCAACAATTTAACCAGCTTAATATCATTTTAGTCAAAAAGAGAAGATAACGTACTTCCAACATATTGCCGAGTGCATTATGTCGCCGGGGCTGGCGGGTCACATAAATTATGCCACCCACATAAATACGGCGACAACTGTGTTGCTGCTGTTTTGTGAAGATCTGGATCCTGTGGTGCGCATGAATGCGGAGGAAAATCTGAATCGCATATTTCGTGCGTTGGAAAAAACACGTGTCAGTCGCATACTAATGGATTTGTACGGCGAAATAAAACGCAATGGCAACCAACGGTTTGTGCATTTCTTATCACCATAAAATTAAATAAGCTTATTGTCGTTTTTGCTTGTTTGTATTTCAGTTCGTTGCGCATCTGTTTGAACTTATTTGCCTACTATTCCCCGCAAATAAGAGAACGCAATATTAAATGGTATGCTGTACGTTTATTGCCTTGCTTGCAAACCATAGCGCAACGTAAGGAGACACAGCTTTGCGAAACGTTATGTGAATTTGTGAAAAATTTTGGAAAATATTTGCAAATGGGGCTGACGGACAGTGAATCCTGTAAGCTGTTTGAGGTATGCTTAACTAAAATTTAAGTGATGGATAAAAAATTTCTCTACATTTGGATTTGTACAAAACACTTCGCTGTCACACGCTAAAGTTGACCAACTTTCCATTTGGATGATATCTAACAATACTTGATAGTTGGAAATACTTTTGTGAAATCGAAAAATGCTTTTGAATTGATATTCCTTCGTCCGATAAAAATTCGGTTTCACTCTAGTTACGTCAAATTTTTGAAAAGAGGGTTATGTTAACTGAAGAATTTTGCGGAGTGGGGCGTAAAGAGACAAAAACCCTCCTCACGGTAATAAAAAACTGCTCGGTTGTGACCTGTTGATGGCTTGCAACGTTATTTTCACAAAATGTTTACTCCTTCCTCCGCTGCCTTTCACGGTGGTACTTCAGACAGCAAACAAAACGCAAACAATTAGAAAAACCCAAAAAATAAATCTCGTTATGTACATTCCACTTAGTTACTATAGATGAGCGCGGCTGTTTTGGCGACATATTTTCACCCTTCACACACGTAGAGCATCTTCTATAATTGCATTTGACTCTTCGCATTTTTTCGCACAGCTTTGCTACTTCGATTCGAGTATTTTACTTTTTTTAATTGTTGTTTTTTTCTCTTTGTTTTGTAGTCTTCCATGGCAAATATTGGCGTCGAGTGCGCGGTGAAACGTCGCTGCTCTGCGCAAAATTGCATCAGTCTAATTGAAAATTCGCGCAATAAGAGTTTGATGGCCAAACATGGACTAAGCAAGGCATTTGGTAAGTGTTAGTGGTACTCACACATATACACCCACACACATAAGTTTAAATAACATATGGAGCTGTTTTATTTTTTTAAAATTTGAATTAAAACGTTTTAAGCCAGACAAATTTTTTTTTGTTGGTATTCCCCTAGTGGGGTAAACCAAAAAAATATGTACTACTGTGATCAGATTGAAAGGTGAATTTTGTCCATTTCATCTGCTTCAAAGTAATAACCTCCCGCTGCAATACATTCATGCCAACGAATTTTCCAGTCATCATAACACTTGGAAAAATCCTACGCTTACATTAACATCTTAAAGAAGTGTTGATTAAACTTATACACTTTTTTGCTTCTCCACAAATGGAAGCAAAACCAAACGTTTCTTGTTATAAAAAACAATTTCGTCTTGATACGGTTGCTGTTGTTGCTAGAACTCCAAAGTATTATAATTTAGAGAAATGCTGCCGAATTGACAATTCTTAGGCCGATAAAAATTCTGGTCCGTTCCGGTTACTTAGTCCCGACTGTCGTGGGAACGAAGTATTGGTTATAGCAAAAAATGTCAGAACTTGTCTTAATATATATATTTTACCAATTATATACACATTTTTGCTTTTATGGTGTAAAAATATTTAGCACACCGACCTAAGCAAAGGTATATCTATACTAATATTATAAAGACGAAAGATTTGTTTGTTCGTTTGATTAACCCATTAACGAACACACCGAAACCACGCATGTCAATTAACTTTAGTTGATATTTATTATGTCTTAAGTAGTATAATATAAACTTTATTAAAGAAAAAGGAGAAAAAATGCTAATAAAGAAAAAAAAAAACATTTATTTCCGTAAAATTTCGGAAAATTTCCTACATTTGTAATTGCATGACCTACTTAGTTTTTAAAAATAACGTAAATTTAAAAATTGGTTTACGTAGTTTTAGAAATCATGCCAACAACAGCTGTACACAAGCGTGTACGCCGGGCAGTAATGGGTTAAATTGCATAGGCTTCGAAAGTGCTTAACTTATACAATATGATAATGCGTTCACCGTTGGGAAGTAACACCATTTTTGGTGAACGTAGTTTATATTACTTTTCGATTCGAAAACAATTGAAAAGTCGCTTCTCATAAAATGAAATGTAGCGCAGCTCACTTTTTCTTTCACTCTAAAATCATTTTGAAAAATGGTTCGTTTGTCGTCGTATCTCATTATTCACAATGCCACACTATAGACAGGCAAGACATTTTGAGTTCAGCCTTTATAAAGAAGTTTTTATACCTGCTCCATAAGTTCAGAATGCTCTGAACATCAGACACTAGATCACCACTTTGGGATCTACAAGAAGAATTCCTAGAATTTTCTAGCATGTTATTGTTGTTGTTCTAACGGTTATCTAATCTCTGTTAGGATGGTAAGGATAATCTAGGTAGCATCCAGGTGACCATATTGGTGGTGCGGCGTAGTTGAGAACCAACTGGTTGTTTAATAAAAATCGTGCCCTCATGACACTAACCACCTCTTTGGTCCATCCTCACTGAACTTCACTCCTTCACACTTCGATGACAGCTGATTTTGCACTTTTCTCCAGAAAACCAAAAACAACAACAGTATACGAATAGCTGTAGTTGTTTGGTGAGACCCGAGTAACTTTATAAATTTTTTTAGATTAGACGTAAGATATGAGTCTCCTTAAAATATTCAGCTCCTATAACTGTAGTCTCCATTCCGTCTCTTTCTGCTACCGTTAGACGACGTCGATTTTAGCCTCTAAGTTCGATCATACACAGTTTTAAGTAATTGCTAAAAAATTTATGTTATTTGAATGAAAATCTTAAATTGTGCGGAAATACATTAGAGTTTATATTTTTATTTAGAATTAATGGATTGAAAATAATAAATATTTACGCGCATACAATTTCTTAATTACACAACAACACTTCGCGAATATGTTTTTTCGATTTTGCGAAGTGATTTTGATACTATTTTTGCGACTTTAGGAAAAAACTGTCTTTATAAAAATATTTGTGTACATTTGCATTTATTTATTTTTATTTCAAATGACAAACGAATTTTTGAGCTACAAATATAATCCATTACTTAATGAAAATATGCGTTAAGCCGGCGCACTCAAACTCATATGGAATTTTCGTTAATAAAATTAGCATTTAATCTTTGAGAAATCCGAAAAAATACCGTTAAATAATTTTGCTTCATTTTTTTTTGTGTAAATTAGTTATGATTGTTTGTGTGTAAATATGTAGTTTTTGTGATTTTTTCTAACTTCCGCCGCATTAGTGTGAAAGCACATGCATAATACAGTGGCGTGAAAAAATAAAACTACGATTGCATTAAAATGCATAATTTAAGTGTTTCATATATACATATGTATGTATGTGTATGTGTACAGCAATTATGATATTAAAAACCGATTATGCTCTTCTTTATATGCTTTCGCTTTTACATGCGTACGCATTTTCTAACAAGCGCCAATAAAAAATGGTGTTGATTTCAAAAGCGAAATATACAAATAAATAAAAACAAAAAAAATGTTTACTTCGGTTGCATCGAAAATATAACACCCTTCACAGGTACATTTCCTAAGGCATAAAAGATAGTTGTTTTGATTTTCATAGGCTGTTGTTGTTGTTGTTGTAACGGGTACCTAATCCCCGTTACGATGATAAAGATTAGATATGGTAAGTTGACATCGACGTCATTAAAAGGTAGGCCCAAAAAACGTGCTGTTTCGGCGGGATCGGACCAAAAGGAGAAGGATGCCAGAAGTGTATGATTAGCAGAACATGCAAAGAGGTGGCCAGTGTCATACTGAGACATATATTAGATTTATCGATGTCTATTCTGGATAAGTAGGAGTTTAACCTGCTACAATATCCAGAACGAAGCTGCGCAAGAGCTCTTCGTCTGCAATAGATGATGGTTTGACTCTAAGTACGCCATTCACTGAGAGAGAGAGTCGGTGCAGATGTTGATGGCTCCACTGTGAATGGCGGTCGGTGGTTGTCGGAAGTTAGTTGCGTCCGAAGTCTCGTCGGCGTATTGCGTTGATGCCGTCCACGTAGTTGATGAATGACCTCTTGATGCGCCTAGCAGGCGGTTTCACGCCAAGCAGGTGGTTGCAGGGATGATTTCTGCGAAAGCACCCCATCAGGAACTGCTTGGAGAGGAGTTCGTTGTGCTCCTTAACTGGGTGGATACGAACCTCACTATGCAGGTGTTCGATGGTAGACATCAAGAGTCGTAGTTCAAAGTGCAGTGTTCTTGTCAAGTTTGGGGCTTACTCGTCAGCGATTCACTGCATCCAGCCGTAGTTAAGGACTGGCCGGCCGATTGCCTTGTAAGTTACCAAGAAAGTTTTTTTGGCCTTTCCCCATGTACTGCCGGCTAGCGACTTGAGGATTTTCTTGCGGCTGTCACAGCTGTCAAATGTCATACCTAAAATTTTAGGATTATCAGTCGGAATAAATAAAGTCGCTGTGGATTTAGTGGGCGAGAGTTTAATTCTTCTCACTACCGGGAATAGCAAGACTTCACGTGGAGAGAGCAGAGTTATCGGACGATAGGACTCCACTTTGCTTGCGGGTTTCCCAGGTTTCCAGACATCGGTTATTTGAAGAGAGGTCAGCGACAGGTTGAGGACCTTGGTGAGGCTTGTTTGCTTTAGCATCATAATATTAATTCCATCAGGACCCATGGATTTGGACGATTTTGCCTTGTTGATGACACTCTGAACCGCGTCATCGGTGAAATTAAGTGGTGCGAAATTTTTCAGCATTTTGGGCAGCCGTCGGGTAACACATCGTTTGGTTTTGTCTACCGAAGGGTGCAGTGTAAATTGCCGGCTAAAGTAGTTCACGCAATTCCAATGAACTGAATTTCAACTCGGTCCACATGTTTCTTCCGATTATACAAAGTCTTGACAGTAGTCCAAAGCTTACTCATACCGGTTAAAGCGCTTCAAGTGCTCTATCCATTTTGTACGGTTGTATTGGTTTACCATTTGCCGAATCTCCGAATTGAGATCTTTTACTCGGGGATCTAAGGGATCGGCATGACGTAAGGTGTCGCGCTCGTAGGCTAAAACAGCTGCTTCGGCTGGGAAATTAGGGCGGGTTTGCACGATTCTTCCAGCCGGGACGAAGCGTGCGGCATTGACGTTCGCCAACGATTACGTCCGAAGTAATGGGTAAAGCGTTGAAGGTACTCTTGGTAAATTCTGTGAAGCCGACTTAGTGAAAGTTGGTGAAGGTGCGTTTGTAAACCCAAATAAAGTCGGGAGGTTTCTCGATCGAGCTTATGTAGGCAGATGGTTGCTAGGCTATGCAATGGTAATATCGGGCGAGCTAGTACAGGTGACCATAATTCTGGTGGGGGCTTCGTTATTCATTATGCAGAATGGAGAATCGTCTATCTGCGCCGGTTTGGCCAATTTGTATGTTAGCTATATATAATACTATAGCGGTCCGATCTAAACAATTGTACCGCAGCCCTGGAAAAAAAATCCATGTCAAGTCTCGTGGAGATAGCTCGTCAAATAAAAAAGTTTTCCATGCAAAGGTTTCATTTTGATCGATCATTTTGTACGACAGCTATATGCTATACTGATCCGACATCGGCGATTCCAACACATGAGTAACTCCTAGGAGGAAAATGGAGACTTTGCGCACTTCTCAGATGGATATCTCAAAATCACTTTTCATTTCACAGAGTCTAGGACATTTCCTTCGCTCCACAAACTTCGTCTCCAACTTAATATACACTGTTCAGGGTATAAAAATACAAATAAAAGCGAATATCAATTATTTGATTCACACAAAAACAAAAAAAAAAATGCTCTAAAAAAGTTCCACGAAAAAAATTGCCAAAATTGTGCGCATTAAAAAAATCTGTGGGAAAAATCGCGGAAAATCTCTTTGGCGTTGCAACCACAAACTGAACATGGAAATCGCGCTTAATTTGCATTAATAATGCATAACGGGATTTAAGTAAAT